TTTCATCAAAACTTGTTATATTATGTATTTTGTTGTTTTACTTAGGTATTTACTTTTTTAAAGTTATATTTACTAATTTTTTTTGTTTTAGTTATTTTCAACTTTTTACACAAAAATTCATTTTTACACACGGTGCTGCCACCATTAGAAACTACTTATTTGTTTATTGTTTTCTTTATTTTAAATTATTGAACACAAATGCATATTTTGTGTTTAGCTTTTTTATTTTAAGTGTGCTAAACACAATTTTTTGTTTGAATGAATGTGTTGCATTTTAATGCCAAACTGCAATGCACTTTTTTGTTTTCAATGTGTTTATAACACAATTGCTTATTTTTTTACACTACACTAACATTTTGTTTAAAAAAAGTTTTTTAATTTGCACAGTTTAAATTTGGATTGTTTTTTGTTTAATCAAGTAATTGATTTTAAAAACAATTTTTTTATTTTGATTTGCACATTTAAAAAAATATAAAATAACTTGTTCATTGATACACACAGTTTAACTTATTTACAAATTATTTTTGTTAGTTTATAATTATTAATTTATTTTAAATAGTTCAAAAGATAAAATTACAACAAAATTAGCTAAAAATTATTTTTATNATGGAAACATTTTTTGAGTCAAATATGTATGGCGTGTTATATACTTTACAAATAAACAGCAAAAATTTTCTTATAAAATTAAATTTATATACATACATTTGTTCATTTTTTACCCGTGTGTTTTGCTCATTTGTAAATTGTTATTATGTAAAAATTTTTTATTTAATTAAATTTTTATACAAACTATAAATTTTTGAATTTTTTTTATAACAACAAAATGAGCATATTGTAGTTTCAGTATTTTAATTTATAACAGTAAAAATATCGTATTTTTTAAATTTTTTGTTTAAAATAATTTAATCAATTTTTAGTAAGTTTGTGAAAATATATTTTAAAATTTAAGTTTAGACGCAACAGTTTTTAACTTAAATGAAAAACTAATTACAAACTGTTTAAATTTATTAAACAAAAAAAATTATACTTTTTTATTTACAAGCACTTTATTTCTCTTTTAAATTTTAACGATTTTTCACAAGTATTTTAAATTACTTTAATTTTTTACGCTTTATATAAACGTTACTTGGCTGCCTAATAATTGTTTAAAAACTCACACAAAAATAAACAATTTTTAAAACACTGTCAAAACTATTTTTATTACCTCAAGACATTTGCTTGATTGCTAACCGCTAAAATTTTTTAAAGGCTTTGCTTCACATCTTTAAAGCTTTTGCTTCATTTCAACGTATAAGTGCAAACAACTTTTTTATTTTGCACTTTAAATTTTATAAACTGTATTAACTAATTTTAAACTTTTTTCTTTTTTTGTTACCCTTTTCAATTTTTACCTTTTTCCTTTTGCTTTATTTGTTTTTTGCATTTACCTACAACAGATGTCGATTACAGAATTCGCTGAACAACAAAATAATCAATTCTACGAAATCAACGATCGCGCATCAATACAACTTAAATCCAACTTATCTTTAGATTTACGTCGTTCAGTTGATTTTTCTTAAATTTTTTAACAACAATAACAACATATTTGTTGCAAATAGGATAGTTTTTTTCATTTTTAAGCATTTGATTATTATTTTCCGTCCAAATACTGTACTTCACTTTTTTGATTTTTATAATTTGTGTCTATCAATTTTATATAATAAAAATATGTTTTGTAGTTCATTAATATTTATAAAATATAAAAACCAAACTGTAATTTTTTTAAATTGTTGTTTTAATTACATAACAAAACTATTTTATTTTTACTAAAAATTTGTTTTATAGAAAGTTTTAAATCAAACTGTTATTGCAAATATAAATTCAACCTTATTGTTGATGTAAAATTTATTTACTTTTATCAAACTGTCTGGTTTGTACTGAATTAGATAAGTCATTTATTTTTCAACAATTTACACAAAGATAGGACGGTTACACCAAAGTAAACAGACGCAAACAAACATTTAAGAAACGAACAAAATGACTAGCTGAGATGCTCAGTTTGTGGTTGTTGTCAACGACTGCCATGCTGTTTAAGCTTTTATGTTTAAGTGTAGTGTTATTGTCAAAGAAAAAAACAAAAAACAAAAAAACAAAAATTTAGTTTGACAACTGTCATTTATTCATACATTCTTAATTTGTTGTAAAAATCAAGATTAACGCCACCATCTTTTTAGTAAAATTGCAAATTTCTTTAGGTGATTGTTTTTGAAAATGAGTTTGTGTAAGCTTACCTGATTGTATTATTTAAAAAGCTCAAACTCAAATTCTCCTAAACTACTTTGTTGAATTAATTAAAAGTAGACCAAGTCTAACATGACACCTGTTGCTCTTTTCTTTTGTCCAGTCAAAAATGAAAAGGAAAGAGTAGAATAGAACGTGTAAGTAAGTATGAGTGTCGACTGTGCTGCGTCAATTGTGTGAGCGCATAAGGGAGTGCGCCTAAATTGTGTGAAAAGTGCCCTGCGTGAGGCGGAAGTTAATTGAAATGGGAAGTTGTGGGTGGTGCTGTGGTTTGGTTTGCTGATCCCGCGGCCAACACTGATCCTGCTGCGGCAACTCGTTTCAGGTACTCTCGAATGAAGCTGGAAAGCGATCGCTGAATAGAGGAGGCAGCCGATGAAGTTGAAGTTTCCGGTTGTTGCAAGCTGACACCTCCGGGAACGGCGGTCACCGGCGGCAGGCGACGACCGTCGGGCAGGGGAATCTCAGTGCCGTTTGCAAAGGTTGACTCCAGGGCTCCATTGGTGGGCAGTACCTCAGTGGCCAATGACAAGCGAGGGCTGGCCTGCTTTGAGTCGCCATCGGTCAACAGGAATGCTGGGGAAACAGTGCTAGCGATAATGCCCGCGTAGTTGTCAGTCCAGGGGGAGGTTGGGGAAGGAGGTGAGGGAATTGGAAAGTAAGAGCTGCTGATGCTGTTGGTGCTGTTGGTGCCCACTGAATGGCTGCTGTCACCGTCTACTCCTCCGTCCAAGTTGTACTCCTCTGCCTCTTCTGCGCTCTCTCCGAAGGAAAAGTATCCACCGGAGCTGCCGGGAACCATCAGGCGTTCCTTTTTCTGGGAATTATTCCCATCCAGTGCAGCTTTCCGCCGACTGCAGGGCGTCTCTTCCAGCGTCTCCTCAACCGATCTCACCGAAGGAAGAAGAGGGCGACGTCGGTGGTGAGCCTGGCTGTGGTACTGCTGCAGAACAAGGCGGGCAAACGACTTTGCCATCTTCTCCTGACGCAACTTCTCCAGCAGTGCCGTCGGCGGCGTTCCCTCGATCAGTATGGAGCGCTCCTTGCTGCCGGCACTTTTCACCATCACCGGATCGAATCCCTCAGCTCGCAGCACCGTCCACTCGGTGGAGTCGATGAACTGCACCACCGACTTGCCATCACCTCCGTGGTCCGTTCCCGTCGAAGTCACAATGAAGTCGTCACCTGTCTGTGCCGTCTTTGTGCCAGCACTAGTCCAGCTGTAGTCCAGTTGATTGGTTGCCACCAGGGCGGTAAACGCCAACAGTAGGAGCACTGACAGCTGTTTCCATGTTTTAATTTTGGGTGAAATTTTTAATTATATATCTGTAAAGTTAAATACTTTAAAAAATTGAGTTTACCTTGCTCATTGTGATTTGGTTTGTTTAAAACTTAATAATGAGTCACAAGTTATAACTTTGTAGTTTTTGACGTTTAAGGTAAAAAGAGGTTTGAGTTAATGATATTGTCTAACTCAATCAAAAAATACACAAAAACGCTTTCACGAAACTGATAACTGAATTTTTTCAGTATTTTTTACCAAAATAATTAAAATATGAGAGAAAAATGTTAAATAGATGAGTTTTAAGAAGAAATAAACCTTTTGGAAGAAAGTCAAACCGTTTAATGAAATTGACAGTCGTTTGGCATGGCTTTTTATATAAGAATCATTTTAGATGCAGCTGCGCCCTCTCTATTTTATTTTTTCTTTTTTGCCTTTTTATTCATTCAATTCAAAAAAAGTAGGGGTGCAAATTAACCAAGTTTTTTTGGTGTTTCAATTAAAGCTTACTGTGCAAAATGTGCGGTTTTTTGTTTTGAATGGTTAAACAAAAACATTTTAAAAAGTTTAAAATATAATATATTGTGTATAAAAAAAATAACAAAATGCATGTTTTAAAAAATTGAAAAATTACATATTGTTAATAATAAAAAAACAATAGTTGAACTAACTTATAAATGCAATTTGGATAATCGGTAAAAATATTTTAGCAGTTTTTTGTGTATTATTAATAATATTTTAAATGTTTTTGTATTATTGTCTGCAAAAATTTAATTTTGTAAATTCAAATTGAATTGTGTTGTTTAACAAACAAAAACAAAATTATTCAATTGAATATTTAAAAATGCAATGGAACATGATAACAAGTCTCTAAAAATATGTTTCACAAAAATAAATTTTTGTAAAGAAAAACTTTTTCAAATATATAAATAAAAGTAGATTCTTTAAAAATAAAAAAGGTAATGTTTAGCAAACTGTAAAACATGTAAACACAACTTTGTTGATTTAACATTTGCTCACGTGCAATTAAAAAAATAAAACAAAAAACAAAACATATTTTGCTATTGCAAATGATTAAACTAGATTTTTAGTTTAGTCATTTTTACTAGTGACTTTATACAAACAAGTACTTTTTAATTTTTAAATTTGTAAAACTGTTTAATTTTTACAATGATAAACTTAAAATTTACTATACTAATGCTAGTTTTAATGAAACAAACATGTTCAACATCTAAAGTAAGTTTTTAAATTTTGTTTTAAAATTAATTCTAAAGTTTGAATTGTTAATAGGTGGACATTTGCACTAAACTCGTTCAAAATTCCATTTCTCTCAATGTTGTAGGCCTTTTGAATGACCGTTTTGTCCTGATCACTAGTGACCTTGATGTTTACCTCTTCCCAAAACAAAATTTACACTTGCAAAACGACCCTTATTTAGAAATTGACACCGACAACTATCACCCCAACTATTTGCATCATCTTTGGAACAATACTAATTTTGTAGTTGATAAAAAAGAGAAACTGTTTGTACTAGCTGACATAAACGCTGCGATGAACATCTCTAGACAGCCTCCACTTGACAAACAGAATCCGGCTTTAGCATTGCGTGTACTGCGTTTTGGCTCAAACGAAACAATAGTTACTGGAATGGTTAATCAAACAAAATTGATGGAAGTTGATGTGATTGTTTCGGCAGAAAAACAAGCATTTGCTTATCACATAATCAATCAAAATAACACAAAAATTTACAAATTGTTGCCAGCTGAGCATGAAGAATTGGTTGGCCCAGTATCTATTAACCGACATTCGGAAGTAAAACCGTAAGTAATTGTTATTACTAAAAACTTTTAAAGTCGATTTTAATTTAAATTTGTGACATACAGATGCCAAAAGATCTGCAATTTTTCAAATTTGCAGTGTGAACCATTAACTGGATTTATGGTTAATACAACAACTGTTCTATTTTGTAAAAACAATGTGCTTTTGTTTAAAAATTACAATAAGTTGGTTTCTATCAAAACATATGATATGTTTTTCAAATGCGTTTTGCCAATCAATTGGTTTAAAGTTGGTATGATAACTATTGCGGTTTCATCGGTGGCCCTTATAATCGGTTTTGTGGTTTGTTACAACATTTACACAAACAGTCGACGCAAATCTTGGATGGTCTCACAATAAATTTTACGCATTACACTTTTCAGTTATGATATTTTCAATGTGTTTTATTTTTTGTAATCGTTTTTCTCAACCATTTTCATAAACAAAGCGCTTATATACGCAAAAAGCTGTTTTTAAAAACCAACTTATAACTTAATCTGTACTTTAAACATAATAAAAATGCTTACCAGTTCAAACATTTTTGAGTTAATTTGCACACTGTCAAAAAGTTTAAAACCAATTTTGCTAATTGCTTTACGGTTTGATTCAATTTGTTCAAACTAATAAGTAAAAAAATATTTATTTTTAAATTGTAAATGTAAGTTTTTACCTTCATCAAAACATTTGAAGTCAATTTAAACGATGTTTGTAAATGAAAGGTGAATTTTGTTTGCAACTGAAGAATTTTAGAGTTGAAGTAGCCAATAACAGCACACTCGTAAGTAATCCACAGTAACATTCCCATAAGAATATTTGCAAAAAATAGAAGAAAACCAACAATTATAAAACTGTCATTTGTTTTTGTGTTCAACATAAAATACGCCATAAAAGTCACAATAATAGATATGCAGGCAAAAAAAGCTGAAAGATAACGACTCCAAAAACTATTACATCCAGTAACTTCATGTTGAAATAAATTTACAGTTCGATTAACAACAGAAAATTTTTTCAAAAGATTTGAAATTTTTTTAGTTACAATATTAAAATTTTTCTTTTGTGAAAAAATTTCTGTTTGAACTTTAAAATTAAGTTTTTGTAAATCAGTTATTATTTGCTGTTGTTTTATGCGCAAATAACGTCCATTTAAAATAAAACAAAAAATGGTTACATATATATCTGTTATGTTGTAAAATAAAAAACAATTAAATCGTTATGGGGTTAATTTTTTACTTACTCAACGTTAAAAAAGGCACTGAAATTCCAATCCAAATTGCAACAAAATAATCAACAAATTTGTTTTGCCAATTGTTGATCACATTAAAATAATAAAATGGCTGACACTCAACTTGAATAAGAATAAAAATAAAATGAATAATTTTTTTAGCTTTTTTATGCAACTGAAAAATTTTAATGGCATTTTTCTGGTTTAAAACTTGACCATTTTGGATTATTTTTTTAAAACTTCCATTGGAATGCAAAATAGCATACATTCGAAAAGTTACGTTATAATTGTTCATGTTATGAAACAGTAAATTGAGTCCGCAACAGGTGCCAATAAAAATAATAAAACCAAAAAAAATGTCAGCTTGATCAGAAAACTGAGCGGGAACAAGTTTTTGGCTTGGCAAAACATTTGCAGGTATAATTGAATACTTATAATTGTAAAGGGCAAAAATACCAAAATTGATAAAATAGAAAGTCAAATAAATAATGTTTCCAGGCAGATAACGAATATTCATATTAAATTTCATTGTTTTCCATTTATTGTGTATTTTTTCAGCACTTTTTATTTCTTGAACAGCGTCAATATCTGTGTAAAAACAATTAAAAAATTCAAATGATATTTTTTGGAAAAAAATGTTTAATAAAAAAGTGTTAAGCATTTTATCAGTTGTTAAATTAGTTAATATTTAAATACAATTTGTTTAATGAAAATAAAACAAAACATTTACTTTTGTAAAATCAATTTAAATATAAAAGCTTATTATCTAGTTTTTATATTAAATATCTAATTTTTATATTAAAAACATTTTCATTTATTGATTTGCAATCAAATATAAAAATTTGTAAAAATTTTCACATAAAAACATTTAAATCATGTTTATAAAAACTTTAAATTATTGCTTAATTTAAAAAATAAAAGTTTTGATTGTGTATATATGTAATAAAATATTGACTTTCACACTTTGCTAATAATAATTATATTTGAAATTGCTGTTTTTATTGAATTTTCAATCAAAGTTCAAAAAGTTGCTTTCTTATACAAAATCTACTTTTTGATAACAATTTTTGCAAACACATTACAAAACTATAAAGTTTTATTAAAATTTAATTACAAAATTGTAAAGTTGTTGCAATTTTTAAACTTTTAAAAAAAATTAAAAGTTTTTTGCTAGCAAATAAAGTTTTTGCAAATGCTGATGTAACAACTTACTACGCCAAAACGTGAAAAATTTTTTAGTTTTATTTAATTTCAGTGTTTAACAGCTAAGACAGAAAAAGGTAAAACCCAATAACTTTAAAATCAAGTTTCGTGTATAAGCTTATTTTAAAGTGTGTTGCCTTGTTGCTAACCAGCTACCTAGATGGCGATGCTGACTGCTGAAACTTGGCCAAGAGCACTGATCATCGTACATCTGCCTGTATCAGTTCTGGCTGTACATGCTGGCCTGGCAGTGAGAACAGCAGCAGTTGCTGGTGGTGGTGGTGAAGGGACAATCAAACAGCACCGGACGGATCGATTGCTGCTGCTGTGAGCTGGTCTTTGTGCTGCTGCTCTTGTTGGACAATGCACTGCTCACTGGCGGCAGCAGTCTACTCGCTCTCTCTCTCTCTCTCTCTCTCTCTCTCTCTCTNTCTCTCTCTCTCTCTCTGCTTTGTACGTACTGCCACCGCCAATATACTCGAGTTTGCATAACAGTGCACATAACAGACAGACACACTGCCGCCGACCAAACAGGAGCGCACTCTGACATTTGGCATCAGTGCTTTACTGCTTTACTTTGCCTTCGTTTGCTACCCCCAGCGTGAAAAGGGGGGTCAAGAGTGTGTTCTCAGCTGCTACTGCTGCTCCCTCAGTGGTGCCGTGTTGGCAGCAGTGTTGTGCTGGCGATTCCCTGCTGGCACTTCTGCTGCTGCTGGTGCCACAACGGCACCAAATCGCTCTGACGCAACAGCAGTTCCTTCTGCTTTTTTTCTTTCTTCCTTCTTCTCCTGCCACCGTCACTGAGTTTTACCTGACTGACTGAGTTTTTGACGAGTTTTACCGTTTTTGTCACTTTTTTGTCACTTTTTTATCTGCCCTTTCTTCTCTCGAATCAGTCGGCGTTTCATTGATTGGCTGCTTTCTTCTGCTACTGGCGTCTTAGCTTGCTTCATTGCTAGTTGAATTGCTACTGTTTTCATTGTTTTCCTGCTAACGCACAGGCTCTAAGCAGGCGTCCGCCATCCTGTCACTTGATTTCCTCACATTTCAATTCAATTCTCTATTGACAAATCTCCCCCTTACAATTGAGTTTTCTTCTTTTTGTTAGTCGGCACTTTCTTTACTACCGTTATACCAACTGTTTTTGTTTGTTGCTTAATACTCTTCTTCTCCGCCTAATGCCAATCATGTAACCTAGTTGCCGCAGTAAAATACTCAAAACAAATAGAATTTGACAGAATTCAGTATATACTTTGGTAGCACTAATCAATACCAAAATGTAATTAAAAAGTTGTCCTTTTTGCCGTACAACTAATCTAGTCAGACTTTAGTGTTGTCGTGTCGTTTAGCCAAAGTCATTAGCACTATTCGTTTAGTTTTGTCCCTCTTTCTAATTCTGCGTGCAAACGTACAATCGCCACTTTATAACTACTTATCACCACCACCACCACCAACACCACCACCACCACAACCACAATCGAAACAGCATTCAACATGTACTCCAACTTTAAACCTGCCTTTGGCAGTGCATTCTACCACCTGAACCAGTCCTTGTTGCCGGAAGAGGTGTGGAGTCAGCTGGGGCAGCCGGAGGACAAAAGGCAACCTCTTCTGGCAAAGTACGATGCTTACGGCTTTGAGATTGAGCCAACTGACAGCGTGGCTTTAAACTGCAAAACGGATAAAACTGATGATGGAGTTACACAAGTAAACAGCATCAGCATCACGAAGATCAACAAAAATGGTGAGCAAAGTGAAAAGAAAGATGATGATGAGGAGGAGGAGACGTACCTGAAGCGGAAGGCGCAGTGGATCCGCTACCTCGAGTCGGAGTACCAGAAGCTGGCGCCCAGCTCGCCCGTCTTCGACCTGGCCAACTTCGACGCCGACCTCGACCGGAGCGCGCCGCTGCTCGACCAGCTGATGGCCTCCGCCGGGCCGATCACCAACGAGCTGCGGCCCTTCTTCTGGATGCGCCTCTCCCGAGCCCTCCGCCTCAAGATCACCAGTCGGTGGACTTTCACGGAGCTGTGCGACCAGGTGGCGGGGTCACTGGCGAAAAGAGGCGCAGATTGCAAAAATAGCAAAACCACCAGAAAAAGAAATGGTGACCGCCAGATTCAAGTGACACAGGTGCTGCCCACCAATGTCTGCTTCCAGTCGGCGGACAGCATCTGCGCTCAGCGGCTGAAGCGCGTTCTGGCCATTGCCCAGTGGCACCAGAAGCTGTCCGGCGGTTCACGGGGCGCCCAGCAGAGGGAGCCACCAGAGCACTTAGAAACACTGCAAAACAACAGCGCTAAAAACGACTGTCAAATTGATGGTGATGCCGCTTCGGTTTACGCCGCCGCCCTCGTCGTCAATCAGCCGCTGATCGCCGCCTACCTGCTGCTGGTGTGCAATGAGGAGGACACCTTCTGGCTGCTGGCAAAGCTGTCCGCCGACCTGGCCACCTCGGCCGACCTGTGCACTGGGCTGCTGCTGCACCTGCTGGAGCGGGCCAGTCCCCGGGTAGCCGAACTGCTCCGCCGACACGACATTGACCTCAGCCTCATTGCCCTCAACTGGTTCGCCTCGGCCTTCGCGGGCGCCATCAAGGACGCCAGCGTACTGTACGCCCTCTGGGACCTGCTCTTCTACGAGGGGCCCATCTTCCTGGTGCAGTTCACGCTGGGGCTGCTCATCGTCGAGTCGGGCCGCCTGGTGGAGCTGTGCTCCAACGCCCCGGATGGCGACTTTTCGGCGCAGCTCTTCAATGAGCTGTCCGACTTGCCTTTGAAGGCGTTCTCGGTTGAAAACGGTGGTGCACTCTTAGATGAAGATATGGGCATGATCAGTATTTGCGTGAACAATTCAGCACCGAGAACTGCTTCCTCCTCCTCCTCCTCCTTCTCGTCGCACCGTCGACTACTGAAGAAAGTGACCATAGCTTGGAAGGCGGGCAAAAACGTCGTCAACGTCATCGACGGCGACTACCAGGCAATTCCGCAGAGTCTCTTCTACTACAGTCGACCGGTGGGCGGAAGAGGCAGCAAATCTGCCCCCAGTCACTTCTCCACCGGCTCTCTATCATCATCATCCCCATCTTCATCCGGAGGTGACGGGATTTCAGCCTCTCTGCTGAATGGCAGCAACAGCAGCAGCAGTGCCGAGTACCCCTCAGCGGAGTACCTCCGCCTGAAAAACGTCAAACAGACGCAGCTGATGGTGAACCTGCACGAGGCAATCGTCGCCATCGCCCACCACTTTCAAGCGTACAACCTAGACACCGCCTACCGACTGGAGCCGGAGTTTGAGATTGTCCTCACCCGACCGACCACGTTGAACCTGCCCTGGAGACACTCCTCTCGACGAGGATCGACCGATTCGGAAAGCCACCTGCAGCAGCAGCATCAGTTTGACGGATCAACGCCCTCCGACGACCTCGGCCACCGCCTTCGACCCTTTCGCCGGGCGAAGGCGTTGATCGACTTTGTAAAGCAGGACAACGACGAGCTAGGTTTCCGCCGGAACGACATCATCACCATCGTCAATGAGAAGGACGAACACTGCTGGATCGGCGAGCTGAACGGCGAGATGGGCTGGTTCCCCGCCAAGTTCGTGGAGCTGCTCGACGAGCGGTCGCTCGACTACGCCGTGGCCGGCGACGACAGCGTCGTCCCCTTCATCAACGACCTTGTCCGCGGAAAGCTGTGCACCGCCCTGAAGGGCATCTTCTTCTACGACCTCCGCCGGACGTCCTACTTCGTGCCCGTCCACCCGTGGACGGTCCTGGAGGAGGTCCACGGGCAGCTGGCCAGCGGCGGCGAGTTCAAGCACATTTACTCCCGCCTGGTGCTCACCAAGACCTTCCGCCTGGACGAGTTCGCCCGCGTCCTCTCGCCCAGTGAGCTGCTGTACCGCAGCATCAGCCAGATCAACCACTGGTACGGGCCGCAGGCGCCGATGGACGTCAAGTTTCGCTCGCTAATTGCCATGGGCCTCAACCAGTACGTCCTCCACGACTGGCTGCAGTTGCTCTGCTTGGGCCATGCGGCCATCGTCCGCAAGCACTACGGGCCGAACAGTTTCCTCTCGGCGCCCGTCTGGAAGATGATCAAGGCGGAGTTGAAGTAAGTGATGCTGTGGCTTGTTTGCTTAATAGTGGTTATTTTTGCTAATCACTTTTTCTTCTATTGGTTGCAGACTACTGGTTCAGTTTTCCTTTCACCTGAATCCACTTGCCGAGAAGGATGTGGCAGAGGCGGCAGCGGCGGCGACGACGTCCAGCTCTGCCACCCCGTCAAAGGTGAAAGCGTCGCCTGACACTAAAGAGAGCGTTTGGGATATGCTGGTGAAGTATCATCTCTTCTCTTGGGACATCTAATTTGCAGTGATCTTGCTACATTCCACAAAGCACAAAAGGAATACACGCATTTTTTTTAAAAAGTTTTATTTTGTTTAACTTTTTCAACACACAATTGAAATGTCTTGACAGCAAATGCATTATCATTTTGCCACTTTCTGATACAGTTATTAACGACATAAACTTTTGTTGTTGTAAAACTTTTATTGAAGCAAATGAAATGTTACAATTATGTTAATTTTTTCATTTAAAAAATTGTTACAATGGAAGAAACTTGAAAATTATTGAAATTCATGATACAACTCAATGTAATTGAAGATCTCAAATCAAATAAACAAATTTTGCTAAAATTGTATTTAAGTAAAAGTTTTCTTTATTTTGGATCAGTTAAACTATTTTTAAAAATCGTGAACTACTACTACAATTGCAAAGTACTTGGCTAAAAAATCAATTGAAAAAACATTTTAGTAGTGAATTAAAATATCAAAAAATTGACACGTCAATAATTGAAACATTTTTTTTTGTAAATCTTCACAAAAAATTACCCAAGAACTAACTAAAATTTATCAAATTTGATAGTTTCCACGTTTCGGATATTGACTGGGTGGAGGTTGCTGTGGTCTGTATTGAAATGGAAATGGGGGCTTCTGTTCTTGACAAACAGCAGGACAAAAACAATGGCATCTAACTATAAAAAGTGTTTAGTTATTGTTTATATCACCTTAAAAGTTAAAATATTTGCCTTCTATTTCTGGAAGGGGAACCTGGCATTGTTGAGGTTGTTGAGGTTTGAACTGCACAAATTCCGGTACCATTTGGCCAGTTGAACGTACCGAGCGAGAGGGGCTGCCCATCAAAGTGGTAGGTGGTTTGTACGAGTCAGTTGGCTTAGAAATTGGCTTGATTGTGGAAGAGTTGTACTTCACTGTTGGCAATTCAGCTGAAAACATTTTTTAAAATTTAAAAATTAAATAAACATAGTTTTAGTTTTTTGTGCAGGAAAACTTTACCTTTTGCATGAGAAGAGTTTGATGGTGTTTTTGAACTTGGTGAAGGCACCAACGAAGGTTTAGTACAATTGAACGGAAAAGATGTTGTCGATTCCGTTTTTGGGTTTTTCCAAATAACCTCGTAATCTGCAGCATCTTCAGGAATTTCCATGTAATCTGAAGTCCATTTTTTATGAACTGAAAAATTAGTGTAGAACGGTTGTTTAGGACATTTGGAACTTTTTCTTGTTTGATTGTCTGCTGCGATCCCAATTAAAAATTCACCATCCATGCCTTTTACAGAGCAGATAAGCGGACCACCTAAAAACCAAAATTGAAAAATTTATAAAACTCAAAACAGTTTTTTACCCGAGTCAATTGTGCAAGTACTTTCTTGCCAAAGTCTTATAAGTTCTGGAGCAACTGCGTGTGGGGATGGACCAAACGTTTCAAGTATCGACGATTTAACTTCTTGATATTTCAATTCATGGCTAAAAGATTTTCCTTTAACTGCTTTTCCCCAACCTAGTACTTTGCAATTGTAGTAGTAGTTGACAAGTTTTGGAGCTAGCTCAACTGCCCTTAACTAAAATAAAAATGTTCTTTTTAATACAAGTTTTGTAAAAATTGTTGACCTACATCAGGATCTTCCAATGACGTAAGTTTTACTATTGATTTCAGTTTAATGATGGCCAAGTTTCCTCCATTGTAGCAATTCTTTGATTGATTAAATCTTGGATGTACATTCACAGTATCCACATGGTGGCAGTACTTCATTTCCCTTAAATTAACTCCGCCAACAGTTACAATCATACTAGAAAAGTTGCGCCCATCAACGCACGATGCAGAGGTAATGATACTTTTTTCATCTAAAATAGTACCAGTGCAAATTGGTTGAACATCGTAAAACGAATCATAATTATCGCAGTTAAATGATTCCTGGACTTCATGAATGGCCGCCACGTATCCATACTCTACGTAATCTGCTATTTTCCCATTAACAACACTAAACAAAAATTTTATTATTAAACAATTTATTTACAAAAATAATCAATTATTTAATACATACCATTTGGCGTAAAAAGGTTGTTGAATAAAAACAAATGTCAAAACAAAATTAAGAAAAAACGCAAAAACAACAACAAAACTCATTATGTTTGTTTTTAATTTAAAAACTGAACTTTAAGTTTGTAACATGATTTTTTAGTCAAGTCACATTAAGTAAAATGACTTAATGACGCAGTAACTTCTAAACTACTAAACAATTTGTCTTTTTAGACGATTTAACTCACTACTATATTTTGCAAAATCAGCAGATTTTTATGCATAACAGCATTTTTCTTGCAATCAAGTTAAGCAAAAAAAGTTTGATCAGGCTTCTATTAAAATTAAATTCACTATCAAAAGCGTTTTTTGTTGTCATTTGCCTGCTCAGTTTTAATCAGCTCTTCACAATGATAACCAATTTGATTGACAACAATAAGTTGTTTTTAAACATAGTTTTGTTTATTGTTTTTGTAGAAAATTAATTGTGTTTTTGTTAAAGGAAAAACAGGTTAAAGTCAAGCATAAAATTTTTAACTTACAGCTAAAACTCACACTACGTCAAAAATTGGTGGAGCGTCTTTTGGTGTATTGCACAAACTTTTTCAAGTCACATGCTATGCAAATGATATTTTAAAAAACAATAAAAAAAATTTAGATATATTAAAACACTAAACACTATAAAACTTTGTTTATTTTGTTTAAAAATTTTTTTTTAAAATTTTTTTATTTGAAATTTATTGGCGTGTTAATTTAAAAATGTTTTTATCTTTTTTCAGTTTGTAATGTTTGCTCATTGTTGTTTGTTTACCAAAATATATACAAAAAACACTAAACACTATTTGATTTTTGCTTTTATCTTAAACTTAAGATTTGAAATCTGCGTTTTTATTTTATTTAACGCTGAGTAGTTTAGTTTAGCAATTTATTTGCTTTTAACACAATTTTTAGCAAAAATTTTTTACAATTTAACTTGTACACTGTCTACCATCGTTAAGTTTTTGCCAAAAATGGTCAAAACTTTTTTGTGTTTTTTTTATGATATTTAGTTCTGTTATGACAACAGGTAAATTTTTATTTTTTATGCAAAAAATAATTTTTTGTTTGTAATGTAGATATTCCTCCATGTATTGACAACTCGAAATACAGTGTTCCATTTGTTACAGTTTCCGACAATTACTATCGTATTCACCTACTTAATATGACAAAACAATTTTATGATTACACTTGGAACTGGAAAATTTGCAACCCGACTTCTGGATCGTACTTGAATCTGAACAGTGCGGTTTTAAATTTAAATGACAGCCTCACTATTAAATGTGCAAAAACTCGCTTAATCTTGTTTCAAACAGAAGGAAGTTTTTCTCAAAAAGGACTTGTCAGTCTTTCGGGATGTCATACGGTCTTTGTTTCACTGAGTTATTCTCAAAGTGCTTTTAAAAAAACGAATTAAACGAAATCGACCCGCGTACATTTCTTGTAGAAATCTACAAATCATTTATTCCACTACAACAAAACACCGGCCGGCTGATTTTTCATGGAAACAAGGAAGAAAAACCAGTTTCCATTAGGGAGATGGCGTTTCAGCCGGGTGAGCATTTTAACGATCACCTAGTCCTGCTAAACCTCACTCAGCTGCAAATGGATGACAACTCAAATGTGGTCGTCGATGGTGTTCTTCAGTCGCCTAGGTCGCCCACCTCGCCGATGATGTTCTTGCAATCACCCTCAGCCTCCAAAATCACCATAGGTCTGCATCAGGCAGAGCCACTTACTGTTCATTACTGGCTGGTAAATGCAAAGTGCAGCGGAAAGGCAGTGCTGAAGATGGACCAAAAAAAGAGGTCAATTTTTCCCGAACTGAATGAGCAGATTGAAAATCAACGAGAGTCCGCCACGCCTGTTCGCTGTGCCGTGCACTACACCACTGACAAAAGCAATCAGTTTGCCGTTCAACTGCACAGTTCTACTGGCCTTGCTGATTTAGCCGATTCAATGTACTTCTACAATACGAGAGGTGTGGTCGTGGTTGAGAGAAACAATCTGGTGAGAGCGAACAGTGCACCAGACAATGAGAAGACTCTAATTGATGTGAGCAGTGTGCTGGTCGTGTACGAATCGCCGTATGTCGTATCGCCCATTGCTAATTTTCAGGTGCCACAAATTGAAGCAATTTCAAAAGAAGGTTAGTAGAGCTTTTTCCAATGAATAGCCACTGATTAACCTTTGTTTTCTTTAAGTGAATGAAACAAGTTTCAACCAAAACATCTCTCTTAAAGTAAAGGCGCATTATGAGTGGGGTCAATCACAAGTTTTAGCCGGTAATAAACACTTCAAAGTGCTGATGAAATTTGAATCACTGAATGCATTCAACGGTGATGTTGATAGTGAAGACCATGCTTTCCTTGTTCTGTACCACAACAACTCAGTCATCCAACTGTCGCACAGCATTGGCCAGTTGACCTTTTCGTTCAACACAAAGTCAGCAGCCAATGTCCTGTTGAAGTTTAAACCTAGCAGACAGTTCAACGATCAACTACTGATGCTGAATTTTACTCAACTGCCAGTGAATGCCAACTCTACAGTGACAGTCGATGGTGTTCAACTTAATTCCACCTCACCAAAAATGTTTCTGCAGTCACCCACTTCGCCTGCCATTATTCTCACTTTAGACATGCCTCAAGTGGAGCCGCTCCCCTTTAGCTGGTGGTTCGTCAGCAAAAAGTGCAGCAAAAAAGCCGTGCTTAAGTATGGTGATCAGGCGCAGCCCGTTCTCTACCCAAATGTGACAAAACGGCAGCAACAGATGCAAATTCCAGCTCCAATTCGCTGTGCCATGCATTTCACTGCCGACGTGGGCTATCAGTTTGGCATTGACCTGCCCAGTCAGACTGGTATTGCTGATCCCGCCGATTCGTTGTACTTCTACAATGAACAGGGACGAGTCGCCTTAGAGTTGAACCATCGGGCAGGTCTGTACAATGGTAA